ATTCACTTCCGACTGGCTTTCGCTTCATGGGTTTTGATCCCAACTTGCTCGTTGTGCAGATACCTTCGGCATCGCAAACGTCTGCAAACAGCCAGACCTTTTTTGAGCCATGCCTTCACGTTTGTCGGGATCCCACAAGAAAGTAATTTAATGCCTGGGTGGTACCCCCAGGAAGGGGTGTGAAAACACCATCCTAACTCTGGAATTATACCTGTAAGAAAAACATCAACATGGCCTCTCGGGCTTTGGCTCAATGCTTAAATGGGAACTCGCTCATCCAGATTTTCACCCGCATCCTTGTCAGCGCCTACCACTTGTGACATCTCAGCAGAAGCAGTCTTGGTTGTCTTGGCTGCCTTGGGCTCTTTTCTACCCTCATAGCGAGCCAAAAATTGAACCACAACGCTCACGAGGCTCACAATCAAACCATAAGCTCCACCAACCGCACCAAAAACGTCCCACAATGTTTGTCCAGGCGTGCGGGTGTACACATGTGCGGAGCGCAGCAATCGGATGTTTAATTTGCCACCTGGCCATCCCGACACTCGGCCATCATACTGCATACTTCCAAGGTACAGTTCTCGCTGAAGATTGCACTGTGCCGAGGACGTACAGCCTTCCTTGTCGCGGAAGACATTCATGCCAAGCAGCAAGGTCTTTTCATGCCAGAATTCCAGCGGGGTGTTGACCACCAGTGACGGGCCCGTGACAACCACGTTGGCACGGTTTCCTTGGCCTCCAGTCGTCATATTCCACAGCGAGACCACGATCCCCGAAGCTTCGGAGATGTCATCCGAGCTATAGCAAAGCAAGGCGTCTGAAGTCGTTTGATCAGCAACAGCAAGACTTTCTGGAGCACCGGCACAGTGAGGGTAGTCACTTGCACTGTAGCCATGCCAAACGCGGAACTCTTCTACGACTGAATTGGTCAAGGTCGACTGGTAGGGAACACAGCTGGGGCAAGAAATGTTGAAACTCACTGTGAGGATGCCGAAGTTCCGGACGTCTCCTGCACTGTATGTCTCCACAATGGGAGCAGTAGCCCAAACAATGATGGAATTTAAGGTATACGCAATTACCAGGCCAACAGTCAGGATCATTCCACATGCGTGTGAGCCATGAGATTCCACTTCTTGCTTAAGCGGCTTGTGAAAGAGGCTATGCTGCGCAACGGCTGATCTCCAAGCTGCCATGACTGAGGACGAAAAAGATGAACGAAGAATCTGTTTGAGCCATCCGCCTCAAGATTCCGGACATCCTGCTTAAACTCCTCCAGATTGCTGAAATTTCTCCAAGGATGGTGGCTGCCACAATTGGGGTCAAAATGGGTTACAATATCTGGTACCCAAATCGATTCTTCGTCACTAGGATACAAGACCAGAGACCTGGCCTCCACCGCATCGCCTCCACCGCATGGCCTCGGTAGACCAGGCCTCCACCCGTTCGCCATGCCAGCGTCGTTGTTCGTTTCTCATAACTTGACTCAAACAAATCATCACAACTCACAGATCATCACAAATCATTACACCTCACCAAAATACAAATCATTACAGATCATCACAAATCACAATCCACTTTTTGAATCACTTTTTTGTTGCAACCCTTCCATTCTGACAGAAAAAGCTGTGACCCGGGACCGTGGGCGCATGGATCCGTATCTTGCTCACGGGATCCTTGGCAGAAATGGATCTGGTTGCTTGGAAAGAACTCAAAAAAATGTGGACCCAAGAAATTTACATTTAAAGGACATATATATATATATGTAGATTTAGTATAGATGAGATGAGATGATATCTGTATCATATGATATATATATATAATGAGATATATATATTTGTACAAATGAAGAACATCCATTTGAAAGCACCGAACAATTCCCTTTGCGTCACCTTGTCTTCCCCGTCAGCATCCGTGTGAACCTCACAGATCATCCCTGAATCAGCATGAAAGCCATGTTTAAAGGAAACATGGTGGGAAAAAACCGACCAAGGAATCCCGTGCCTCAGTACTCACGCGCGACTTCCTGTTTCCTCCCGTCTCCCTCGTCGCTACCACCTGGGCCGGAGCAGGTGGCACTCGACCGTCCCGTCGCTGAAAAACGCCAGCGCTGGCATCCAGGCCACTGGGTCCCGTAGCTTCAGTCGTGGATGATGACCTCAAGCCACGGCAGCAAAAGCTTCACATCAAAATGATTCAATTCGCCATGGAAAGCGATGGTTGAACCGCAAGAGGCTTAGCTCCAAAAAACTGACAAGTGTTGGTCGTGTTGGTCCCAAGGCTCAGAGTTCCCGTAAAGGATTCCCAAGCGCTGTACAAGAAGTCCAATGTCCATCTCAGTCCTCAGGCAGGTCGAGTGAACAAAACTCCATCACACGACCCGAACCGAACGACCCGAAATCGGCCGATATCGGTGTCGTAGAATTGCGTTCGAAGGGGTCCGTTTGCGTTCGAAGCGATATGAAATGATGATTGTTCTCAGGAGAAGAGGACAGGCAAATGAAAGCTGCATCATGGTATGTGAGTGCCGTCCATGTGTTGGTCTTCGTGGAATATTGTATACTAGGCGAAGCTGAGTACACCAAGATATGATCACAACACAGCAAACGACGAAGTTCGATTCTCATCGCTGTCAACAATCAGAACCCGAACGCAATCTCCGCCAAGCTGCACTGCGCAGCCAGGCAACTGCAAACACCATGATGGCCTGCAAAGAGGAAATTCTGCTCTAAATAGAAAAGAAAGAACAGAAGCTAACTATCTTGTAGCTTTGACAATCCATCAAAGCTTGGCCTCCCAAATACCCTCCAGTGTTGTGACGCTGCCGCTCTCCCAAATTCCGTGGTAGTGCAGGCACACTCCAACACTACACCGACACTAGAATCCTGTTGTACGACTTGGATTCTCTTGGATTTCTGACCTGTTCGTTTCTGAAGTGAATCAACGCAACTGGGTTCTCATGCCATGAAAGTGAGAATGATACTATGCAAAGCACATTGATGAATGTCCGTTTGGTGGAAGCAAAACATCCAGCTGGAAAAGTCTGTCTGCATGTTAAAGGAAACTAAACATCGAATATGTTTCGGATGACCACGCCCTGTCTCCAGCGTCGAACATTCAAGCCTTCATGCTGAATTGCTGAATGTGGACAAATACCTCGTTCATGAAGACTTGCGCCTTGCGTCTGCAATACAGTGCAAACATGAGTTGAACCAGCTGTTGAAATATGTTGACATGTGTGGAATTAAGACCCCACAACGCTGTGCGAAACTTCATCTCTACAGCTAGTCAATTCCCTGTCAGAATGAACGCCGAAAAACTCGAGTCAAGGAACGAGAAGGATTGTTCAACTGTTCGTCACATGTTGCACAAGGTGACTCATGACCGCCTCTGGGGGACATTGGCCCCACCCCACCCTTCTGTGCCTGAGCCGCCGGAAGCAGCTCGCTCGGCGTTGGTCCTGGTGTCAAGAAGGCTAACTGCCCTGGGAGCAGCTGCAGCTCAACCCATGGCCTTCGAGTCTTGAGCAGGAAAGTATCTTTTCCACTATGCAGATTGGACATACGTCACTTCACGGAGGGGTTTCCTAAATCTTGCTTATGGAGTTTCCCACATGTAAGTTGGAATGCCCGCCAGTCTTTGCAAAACCGAATGTCAAAAGTTCCACTGGTGCCTAATATGTGCAGGTTCACACGCTTCGAAGCTGCTACAGCTTGTGAGCAAGCAGTGAGTGAGATTCACACAAGGACGTGCGCCAAATGCATTCTGGATAATTTGTCTTGAAATTGTTTGGATTTTCCCTCTTCCGCGTCAGGTGAAACTGCTTAGATGGCGCCAGACACCCTACACAGAAATAACAACTATCGACTTGCAACCTTTGATATCTGCTGAAGTCATAATCTTTTCCTTCAGCGGCGAACGCAGCGTCCCAAGATCAGCCCTACTCATGACAGCGCAGCTTGCGCCTGCGAGCATCTAAAGCGTGCCTCGCAGGCCAGCAGACCGGCGCATGGCGGTCGAGTCGTTCAAAGCCCCGGTATCGATGCAAATGATACGGAATTCATGGTGAACTCCAACAACGAGTTCGGGCCTGCTACATCATGTGCAAGCTTGTCTTTATGAAGCCTGCCAAACATGCTGTCACAAGCCATCAAGCTTACGCGGCGTGATTTGGAGATATTCTGCTACGACCCCCAGGCGACTCTGCGAAGATGCCAATCCGCATCTATCCAACAGCTGCAGTTCAAAGACCTCTGATTGTCCGCTTCCCCATGATGGGAACGGGAATGTCATCGCCACATCTGCAGTAGTTCGGACGCACAAGCTAGGGAAGGGTGCCCTGCTCCTCCATTGAACAAAAAGTCCCACAAATCGTTGAGTGTGTGTGTGTGTGTGGGCACATCAGGTTCATACAGAACATCTCAAAGAATCCAAGCGACATAGGGCATTTGAGATATAAGACCGCTGTCTCATGCGAGATTCGCTGGAGGAATCCTGTTTACACAAAAGAAACTTGGGCAGAATATGCATCTGATTTAATGGTTTGCGACAAAGTTGCGCACTGAGGACTCACTCGGCTTTCAATGCGCCAAACCTACTGTGAACACGTTGCGCCAGGTGCAACACACCTAGCAGCTTCAGGGCCAATAAAATGCGGCAAGAGAGGATCATGAACAAGTTGTACTTTTGCTGCAGCACTGGCCAAAGCGAAGGCCCTGCCCAGTACCAAAAATCCACAAGCAGCCAGCAGATTTGCACGCACAACGCCATTCCGGCCTTGGCCTTCAACATGCTTCGTGCAAAACTCCAAGTGCCCCAAGCACACAACAACTGAAAAACAAGGCTGAGCGTGTAGAACACATGGTTTTGACTGATAAATTCAGTTTTGTCAGCTCCTTGCCAGAAAACCATACACATGGCGGTGGCAATCTCCACTGTCAGGACTGTTGGCAAGAACGCCCAAAAAAAAACACACCCGCAGCTCCGGAATTGCGTTAACCTGGGGTCTTTGTCTTCTGCTTCCCAAACAGACATTAGAACCACTGCAGACATCGCCATGCAAAGTGCGTGCTGCATGTTTCCTGCAAGCCTGGAAATCACAATGTAGTCTCCAAGGCCAAGAAAGCGCAAGTGGAAAAGGATTGCAAGAACAGAAGTGCTACACGCGCACAGTGATGCTGCCAAGACATCGGCATGCTTGCTGAGCCTTGCCACCCTGACTGCACGCTGGAGAATCCAGCAATGCGCACACAGATTTCCAGCTGCAGCAAGGAAGGTGATGCGACATCTGTTGAGTGATACACCCGCAAGTGCGCAATCGAAGCTTGAAAAATTGCCCCAACTTAAACACACATAAGAGCTATCTCTCAAGTCACTGCACAAACAGGAGTTGTCTGGACAAACGTACTTCTGAGGTTGGAGCGCCTGGACCTCGAACGCTTTTGGAAGCAATGCAAGCCACAAGGCGCGATGCACAAGTAGCGTCAATACAAATGCGACCATGATGCCGCCAAGACCCATCAGACAAGCCATAAATTGCCACGAATTCGTGACTTGTTCCCGCTGTTCAGTGGTTCTCTTACGTAAGTGCTTAGCAATTTGAGCTGCAGAGTCCAGCGAACCCTGGATGTCCTCCTTGTCATATTTTGCCGCGTCTCTGCGCAGGATGGCCAAAGGCGAATTTGGATATGGGTCCCAAGGGTAAGAATCAAAGAGCGTGATTAGCTGTTGGAACAAGAAAAAGCCACTACCGTCATTTTCAGCAAAGGACGAGTCGTTTCGCAAAAGGTCTTTCCCTTGCCTGAAGGCCAGGGCCTCCACCATGTTTCCTTTCAGTTGCGGGCACAAACGCTTCAAGACTTTGACGGCATTCTTCGCCCCAGGGTATCGCTCAAAGTATTCCAGCCTCGACCTGTTCCTTTCCTCTGTGCTTGTAGCACCATCCACTGAGGGAAACGTTACAAGCTTAAAGCTAAAGTGTCCGCGGGCAGGCACAACTTCCCACTCCAACTGTAGCTTGGCGTCACGAAGTTTCATGGCCTTTTTCCCTTCGGAGACCTCTCGAAAGCGCTGATCCTTTGCCAGAGCTCGAGCAAATTCCTTCCATTCCTGCGCAGTCACTCTCGATCGCGTTTGCAAGACATAATCACGGTCACTCTGATCGCCGTGCGCTTTGCGGATCGCAGTACCCACCCGAGTGGATCCGATGAGGTCCAAAGTGAAGCCACTCCACACCGTGGCAGCCACCTGTTTGGACGACACGATAAAGGAAGTCAAAAATCAGGGGTCAAAGTCTAACGCCCCCCCCCAACGCCCCCCGAAAGCGGCCCGATACCTTCCCTTTTTCGAATTTGGTCTTCTTCTTATTATCTCTTCTTTCTTGCGCTCACTTCTTTAAAATTGAATGACCCCCTCGCCTCTTCGATCGCCTTCTCCACCTCTTGGACATCGCCGGGCTGCACGGGGGGGCGGCGTCAAACCTTCTGCCAGCTCTTGGAATCGTTGGCTGACGCCCCAGGCATCCACGAGGCGATCGAAAAAAGCGCCATCATAGTCCATGAGAAGCTAATTTCATCAACATCTATCGTTATATGATTGGGGACTTTGAATGAAGACATTGGAAAAGAAGAAAAAGAAGTTCAGCGTCACGCTTGTTTGGAGCGTCGTGTTTGTTTGGGGAATGTGTTTTATGATAATGAGGTCGGGGAATGTCAAGTCCCTTCAAAGAATTCGACATGATCGCTATTCTGGTGCCACATTACTGCTGTTGCTCACAAGGCTCTTGAAACTGATCCGAAAAGCGGGCGCTTCAACTTGGGTCTTGTCGTTTCGTTTACCAACAAACACAGAGAGGCATTCTGTTTTTCCCTTTCTTTTCGAACTGGACACGACACAGTTTACGCAATTGCTTGCGCCAACCTTCCGCCATGTGAAAGGTAGCAAGTAGAACGCTCATTGTTGGTGTAGGGGTTTCCGCTGAGTTTGCGCGACAGTTACCGAGCGTCTCGTCAAGAGTTTCTGTTGGATTCTTCCTTTACCGTTGGGGCCCATACCTTACTTTACCATTAGTAGGCTGACGACGATGGAAGGCTAGACTTTTGTTGTCAGTTCTGAGTTCTATCACTGGAGCTTCCGCAAGGCTTGCGCAGGCCTTCTGCAATGTTTCCGCCAAAAATTGGCAGGCGTCTTTTTTTGCAAATGTTGGTTGCTAACCTCTGGCATTTAACTATTCCACTTCGACTGCCAAAATGGTATAATAAAACGCAGCGACCAAATCAAGACGCGAGTCCGTATGTGGAAGCAATGAAAGCAGAATGGCTTTCTACGCACAGTGCAAGTGATGTCACCACAATCACGACAGGAGGAAAGTGACAGACTGGTTTGCGAACATCTGTTCCCTTTGCTTTGAAAAACGATAGTTCGAACCGAAAAGAACTGCAAAACAGGTCGCGGCATTCAATCGAATATTACTTCCCACAGTGTATACCGCGCTCTCTTCGGGCGGACCACCTGCGGAGGTTCAACGCTGGGAGTTACAACTCCTGGTGTTGAACAAAGGTTTCGACCATGCGCAAAATGGCAAAGCGTGCAGTTCTTTTTCCCAACCTTGACAGCCGGTGCGCCAGACTTGCTGCAAGTGGAACGCTTTGGAAACTCACGGCATGGTCTTCTTTTGCTGTCCAAGGGCAGACTACCAATCTAGCCACAAGGGCGCAGCGAAGCCGCTAGGTTCCGCATTCAGGAGACACACCGGGCAAGCGCTCTTGCAATCTGGACTCAAAAGCACAAGACTTGCTCAAATACATCAACTTGATGCCGGCGGCAGTCTTCATCGACTGACCCTACTCCACACGGGGACGCTTGCGACTCTCAGTGAAAGTCTCTTGCAGAATCGATTCGCAGCCCCTCTTCCCAGATTCCACGAAGAACGGATTTTGCCAAGTTTGCGTTGCTGCCGCCTGCTTGCTTTCAGTCGCCACCCAAGGCGCATAGACTCTAAAGGAGAGTTTTCCTTTCTCTCCTCCAGACTCCTTCGAAAGAATCTTCTGTTTCAAGAGATCTTTTGCAGGGAAAACAAAGAATCCAAACTTGCTACCTTCCTCCACTGCCACCAGAAGCGCATGAAGATCCTCAGGTGTGAAAGGAACAATTGGACCTTTCCCTCCGGGACGCTTCCAACATGTGACGAAGGCTCCATTCTTGGTGGGCGTGATCTTTGCGGTGCGGTAGCAACACGGTTTTCCGCCCAAACGCAAGGAGCACGCATCGTAGGCTGCATTCTTGGGATCAACATCCACCACAGGCTCGCCCACCTCAATCCCAGCACTCTCCAGAAGCTTACGGCAGCGCCGAAATGCAGCACTGGAGAACGACATGGACGAAAAATCAAATAGGAAGTATGCAAGAAGGCAAAGGAAAAAAATGTTCTTCATATACATGTCAGGTCTTGAGCCACCCCGAATGCCGAATTTCACTTCTTTGGACGTCACTGTCGCAGCTGCTCAAAGCACCGTTCGCAACGAGTCTTCCGCGGTCGGCCGCTCTTTTTCCACTGGCCCGATACTTTATCTTACTTCTATCTGCGTACACATATTGGTGTTCAAACGCAGCACAACTGTTGGGGATAGTCGGGTTGTGAACTTTCTGATTGACTGCGACACGCCATTCACAAAATTGACTTGCTGCAACTTGCAGTACAGGCTGGATTCCCCACAGGAGAAAAAGAATTGCAATACTATGGATTGTGTACGGCTTCAAGAGGGTGGGCAACACCAAGCTTCAAGCCAATCGAAATAAAAAAATATCAAAAACCGGGCTCGCAAGACCAAAGCAAATATGGCGCCATCCAATCGCTTTCCAATTCCGGAATGCGTCAACCAAAACTTCCTTGAGATGTCTGGTCACAACAAAAGGCGCGTGTTACTTGTTCTGCCCTCACTTGTCATTTTGGCAGCCAGTTTGAATCTAGGAACTCATCAACTGCATTCCGGAGGTTTTGCGATCGGTTCAAAGGAGGATATGCGTGCGCACCTTCGAACTCCACCAAAGTTCGAGTTCTTTTGTTGAAACTTTGGCCAAAGATCGGGGCCGCTTGCTTGAACATCTCCAAGTCCTGGCGCGCCAAAAGCGAAAAACGCGATCGGAAACACCGGCCGGAGCGAACAACATCGCCAGGCCGCGCCCGGCCGCGGCCGGACAAACGTCACGAGTCGGAGTAATCCGATTTCTCCAAGAACGTGATGAATGTGACTCACCCAAACGATCTGAACAATAATCATTGAGCATGTGATTGTGGTCAATATTTGCTCCTAGACCCCATTGGCGCAGTCCTTGCGCCCATGGAGTAACAGCAGCGGCATGTCCAGCGGCTGTTGAAAGCAGCCCTTCTTTTCGTGGTAGGGGCATTGCCATGGAGCCATAGCTATCATCATTCGCACTTCTCCAAGGCCAATGTCACTCTGCTGCTGCTTCCACAGCGCAGCTTGTGCAAATGCGGCGCCTTGACAAAACCCAGCCACTGCGTCAAATGGACCATGACTTTTGGCATGTTGCTTGAGGTAGACGAATGCCTCTTCATAACGTTTCAGCTCCAAGTCTTCCTCCTCGCTGGAAAGGTCTCGCTGCTCATTTTTCATGTGGATATCGAAGAAGATATCAAAGTTGGCACACCATTCCTTGTATTCTCCACCAGGCACATACTTCATCTCCTCAACCAGTTGAGTAAGGCCAACGCGCTGAAGCTGTTCATCGTCTGTGTCAGCCAGCACGCTGTGCGGGCCATCGAAAATCACAAAATCCATCGTCTGCGTCAGCCAGCCTTGGCGTTTCAACAGTTCATAGGCAATGGCCGCATCGGTCTTTTGCCCATGGAAGAACAAGACTCTCAGCCGGCGTGGCACGGTCAAAGCGCCCCAGAGGTTCTGGAGGCTTGTAGGCCAAAGTCGGGCCACCATGGCACTCGCTGGGCGCAAGAGCTCATCGAAGTCAGCAACCGAGAGAAGCGGAGCTCCTGACCAACGGGAAGCAGGAGCGGATGACCGTTTTCATGGAGTGCCATGGCACGTGCCGGGAGTTTAAACCCAACTTGTTTTCGTGCTTCCGAACGGACCTTCCAAGCGCTTCCAGAAGCGTTACACGCTCTGGTTTCTCTTAATTTTGATGCGCAGCTGTACAGGAAGCCAACTCGGGCTCGAGAACAGCATTCTCGTCTGGGACTGACATTAGCCATTCTGCAGCGTTGGTTCTTGTATGTTCTTGTGGTCCCTAGCTGGCGCTGAAACACATGGAAAGGGCCTCCAGTACAATCGCCATATGGGCCATATGTTTCTTCGAGCTTGCCAACCAGTGACAATTAAAAAAAGAAAAATAAAAATAACGAAGCACAACGGCGAAAAGAAAATTGCGAAGACAAACGAAGCACAACGGCGTAACACTAAGCTCCTCCCAAGTCATGCAGGAAATCTTCGCGATTCTTTTGAATGAGCGCGACATTGCGTATCCAATCCTCCCGGCGCTGGGCCACAAAGAAGTGGAAGGGTAGCTGGTGTGCCGTGACTTGCGCGACTTTCTCTTTGGTCGGCCCAAAGTGCTCCCACATGATGGTCACATCGACTCCAGGAGCAAACTTGGTCTTCTCGAAGACCTTTGGTGCAGTCGGTGCAGCTTCTTTTCGGTTGTGGAAGCGGCTGACTAATTCAAGAAACGGTCTACAGACATTTCACGGGAAACCCTGCTTTTTTCCCCACGTTTCAACTGAAGCGCCTCTGGATTGTTTCGGTAGTACAAGAAGGCTTTGGCGAAAGCTTGGACATAGAAAGGATAGCTTGGACACAGGAGGCTGTTCACTCTCTCTGGCACCTGAAACGGCATGGAAGCATCACACGAAGGGACAGGCACGTACCCACCCAAGCCTGCAGACGTAATACAATCTTCATGTATACGTGCAGTCCGGGCAGTTGCAAGATCTCAACTTAGAGGTTTGGAGAGGGTGGACAAATTTAAGAAATATATGGGGGGGATGAACTTAGCAAAGACCCACTACCACCCAAATCGCCTGAAATTGATCGTTGGCGACCAAGTTCGGGTCGCCATTGATCCAGAAGCTAGCATTGCGTTCGAGGTCTCGTCCGAAGATTTGTCGCACCAAGTCATCGCGATGGAAGCCAAGACATTTGAGGAATATGTCACCTCACACGCACATACACACACACAATTGCCATCTGCGAAACAAACAGGAAAAACACGCGATCGATTAGTCATTAAGTGAGGCACAACGGCAACGCTGCAGTGTTCCGTCTGCTTGCTTCACAATCTCAGCGGCGAAACATCTAGTTTTGGAGTGGTTTGAAACTCATACCACCAGTTTTGGAAGTTGGAAGGACAACTCTCAGTCAAGAACTCAAGAACCGTGCAAAAAAACATGAGCATGCGCAGCTGTCCACTGAGCAGCTGGCTACCGCATCTGTCTCTATGTGGTCCACCTCGCCTATAATGACCTTCAAGACTCCCATTGCCTTGGCATCATTGCATGGCATAAAGGAAACCTGGCTACACATGTGAGGCTATGCTAAGGTTCCCTCCTGCGCCAGAAAGTAAATGTCCGAGCACGCTGGGATGCGGAAATCAATTGAATCGCCATCGAGCCCAGGTAAATCCTCCAAAGTGAGGCCAACTGCAGCATAGAACTGAGCCAGAATCGGGCGGATTGCCCGGATTGAAAGAGTCTTGTCAACGGAGTTGATGAGCCAATTCACCACTGTGGGGAACACCACATTGCGCCGCCTGGCCACCATGATGACGGAGCGGGCATTGTTCTGAAGGGCTGTTCGAAGGTTCTCCACCGCAAAAGCTCCATGCCCAACGATCAACACGTCTTTGCCTTTGAACGCAGCAGGAGGGACGTCATCTGCATGACCGAGTTTGCAAGGTCCAGCAAAGTGTTCCTCACCTGGAAATCGATTGCCATTTGGCTATTAGGTTGGAGCCCATCGCTAGTAGGTTGGAGGCCATCGCTCTTGGGTTCCTTTTGCCATTGGGTTGGAGGCCACGCTGGTAGGTTGGAGGCCATTGCTATTAGTTTTCCTCGCCTGGAAATCGGAGATCATTGGGGCGGTGCAAGCCTCCCAAAAAGCACGCCACCCCATCCACTCGGAGTTCTCGATTTTGGTTCAAGTCGTCCGAGTATCTCACCAAGTACTCACCTAGAAAGGAACGCAGCATCCAAAAGAAACCAACAAGGATTAAACATGCGTTTCAGAAAAGCACGTTTTAGAATGTGTTAGATACGTTTCTGTGCGTTGCACGCTTGGCACTTCGAGTACCCATCAGAATTGTCCGTAGCCTGGAGTTTAGAAAACATGTCTAGAGTTCCACATGCGTCTCCCCACCTCTTGCAAGGGTCTCGACCGAATGGACAGTGTGCCGCAGTCGCAAATCGGGTAGCTCATGAGCGACTGAAGAAACCTGCGCCATGACCTGCTGTTTGCTGGGGTACGTTGTTTGCCAAGGAAATGGTTGTTCATAGTCCAGCATGTAGGAGGGAGAATCGATCTGAAGCTGCGATGATGTATTTCCGAGAGACCAACAACCTCCCGCTTCTGCAGACCTTTCCATCACAATGACACGCTCACCTGCGCGCACCAGTTGCTGGGCAAACGCCACTCCACCTACACCAGCACCGACCACCAAAGTTGTGCGCTGGACCGCAGGAGAGCCTTGAGGTCTGCTCTGACTGGCCATCTCCTTGCGAATGTACGCTTGCAGGTCTTTCTCTGTTGGAGCATCTGTCAGCAAAGTGGCCGGGAGCTTCATGCCAAATTGGGCTGACAAAGACCTGGCCATTTCTGCGGCGCCTAGGGAGTCGAGGCCAGACTCATTCAAATCTGCATCTAAGGACACCTCATCATTCAGCAAATCTGCTATCACACGGTGAATCTGCGACTCCAGGGAATCCTGAGGAAGAGCTGCCTTCCAACTGCTCGGGCCAAACATCTGGCCATGGGGCCAGAACTGCAAATCATGCTTCAACGCCAAACAGACACTCCCCTGAGCCTTTGCAGTCAAGAGGTAGCTCATCATCGCAACGCCTTGGTCGTTGCTCCACGCGCCAAAGCCGAAATCACTTGCGCGCCTCAAAGCCTTCTCGTTCGCTGCCATGCCAGCTTCCTTCCAAGGGCCCCATTGAATGCTGAGCATCCTGGTACCTTGAGAACGCACCGCAAACGCGCTATAGCCATCAATCGCTGCGTTTGCTGCCGAATAAGGTACCTGACCAGGGCTTCCCAGCACCGCAGCAACCGATGAAAAGAAGAC